TTAATTTATCTGTTTTAAATATAAAGAACTGCTGGAACTTGAGGAATGTTAACTTGGAATGCCTAGCACTTATGGTCTGTTTCTTGGTGTGATACCAACAGGCTGTACAATGCCGGAAAGAAGCGTGTGTCACTATCCTGCTGAAACAGGGTGCTGACCCAAATCTTGAGGACGACTGTCAAAACACTGCTCTCCATTACGCTGCTTTGGCTGGAAATACATCAACTGCAGCAAAGCTGCTCCACTATAATGTGAATATCGAGGCGATAAACAAGGTATAGCTCAACTGACTCTATTTACAAGATATTTGAAATACAGGGTCTTTTCTAGCTACAGGTGTTTTATTTATAGTAATATGTATACTGAATACAATATATCAGGCCCTGTTATCATGGAAACAACTCCAAAACGAAGGCCAGAGGCTAGAGGTAGTGCCCACAGAAAGGGCAGAGCTCTGTCTCCCAGCCACACTTGTACCCCAGAAGGAACAACTTCCCATTAGGAAGTGCCTGGGAGTGGGTGGTAGGCTCAGAGCCTACAGAAGGTGAAGGCTTGTGGGGAGTGAAGTGATGGCAGGGGCGGGCTGCCTGCCTGGGGATGGGTGGGAGGAGGAAGGAACCCAGTACCCAGCAGGGGGAGCTGGGTGACTGCACCTGGGCAGGGGAGGCAGCAAGCCACAGGCCCTTAGCACCCCAGGATCCCAGGTTCTAGAATCTGGGCAAGTGAGGTCAGGTCATGTTTGACAGCCAGCAGGGGCATTCACTTGTTCTGGTGGCCACATGGCCCTCCACATACACCTTTACCTTGGGGTCTTCCATGCTCAGTCTGGTGTAGCTACCCTGCGGGGCTGTGGCTGTAGGTGGGGAGCAAGTGATGGTGAAGCTGGTCCTCCTGCTTTTTCTCCTGGTTCTCCCTTGAAGATTTTGATTGAATAAATATACTCAGGTCTAGACACAGGTATTTAGAAATACTTCCCTGAGATTCTGATACAACCCTTGGTTAAGGACTATTGAATGGATTCGTGTAATGCATGTAAATTCACAGATCTCAAAAATAAGACATCTCTGGAAGAGCCAGAGTTTGATAGATGCTGCTGCTTTCAGTGCTCTCCTTTGCAGCCGTGTTAGCCTTTTACCCGTCTCTCCCTCTGTGACTGAGGAGTTTATTGGCAATATTACTGGCAGTATCTATTGCCTTGAAGAATAGCTCCTTTTCCCTTCTAACCACTGATCATTCAGTGGCACTCAGACAGTCTTAGAAACTTGTTTGTGGTGAGTGATTCAACAAGTAGAGTTGGACCCTTTAAAGATTTTGCACCTTTTGTTCCCATCCAGGTCATTAGGTCAACAGGGTTTTTCTGATTGCAATAATAGGAAATCATGAGCCTTCTTTTGGTTAAAGCTGTGTGATGGACTCTTGCAATATATCTGTTAGATTCACTGAGCCCTAGCATAATCAAGATGACAGGCTTTTTTTTTTAATGAAAGTCTAATTGATTTACAGTGTTGTGATAGTTTCTGGTGTACAGCCAAGTGATTCAGTTATATACATATATATATATTATTCAGTTGTGTATATTCTTATTCAGTTATATATATGTTCTTATTCAGTTATATATATATTCTTATTCAGTTATATATTCTTATTCAGTTATATATACTTATTCAGTTACATATGTATATTCTTACTCATATATATATTCTTATTCAGTTATATATGTTATTCAGTTATACATATATTCTTATTCAGTTATATATATTCTTATCTAGTTATATGTATATGTTATTTTTATATATATCCTGAGTTATATATATATTCTTATTCAGTTACATACATATATTCTTATTCAGTATATTCTTATTCAGTTACATATTCTTATTCAGTTATATGTATATATTCTTATTCAGTTATATATATATATTCTTATTCACTTATGTATATATTCTTATTCAGTTACATATGTATATTCTTATTCAGTTATACTTATTCAGTTATATATACTTATTCAGTTATATATATGTTATTCAGTTATATATATATTCTTGTTTAGTTATAGATATATTCTTATTCGGTTATATATATATTCTTATTCAGTTATATATATTTTTATCCAGTTACATATATATATATTCTTATTCAGTTATACATATACTTATTCAGTTACATATATATTCTTATTCAGTTATATATTTATGTTATTCAGTTATATATATTCTTGTTCAGTTATATATATATTCTTAGTCAGATATACATATACACACACACACACACATATATTCTTTTCCATTATGGTTTATTACAGGATATTAAGTATAGTTCCCTGTAGTATACACAGTAGGACCTTGTTTTTCATCTATTTTATATGTAGTAATTTGTATCTGCTAGTCCAAAACTGCTAATTTATTCCTCTCCCACCCTCTTTCCCCTTTGGTAACCATCAGTTTGTTTTCTATGTCTGTGAGTCTATTTCTGTTTTGTAGATAAGTTCATTTGTATCATAGGTTAGAGTCCACATATTAAGTGTTATCCTATGGGATTTGTCTTTCACTTTTTGACTTACTTCACTAAGTATGATAATCTCTAGGTCCTTCCATGTTGCTGCAAATGGCATTATTTCATTCTTTTTTTATGGCTGAGTTGTATTCCATTATATATAAGTACTACCATACAAGATGGCAGTTTTAAACATCAAGACCCATGACATTAGTAACAAATTGGAATTGTTTTAATAATTTAATTTTGGCCATCTCATGAACTAATTATCCATTTGATTAACAATTGGGGAGAATTAGATACAGGTAGATTTTAGTTTTAGTAGGCATTGGAAAAATTCTTGAAGTGGGTATTATGAGCCTTTTTAAGATGTATTTCTTTTACAGTATAGTTTTTTAATTGAGGTATAGTCAATGTACTATATTATATGTTACATGTACACAGTTGAGTGTTTCACAGATTTTTAAGGGTTATGATCCACTTATGGTTATTATAAACTATTGGCTCTATTCCCCATGTTGTGCAATACATACTTGTACCTTGTTTTATGCCTGATTGTTTATACCTCTTAATCCTGAATCTTAATTATCCATTTGATTAACAGTCAGGGAGAATTCGGTACAGATTGACTATAGTTTTAGTAGGCATTGGAAAAATTCTTGAAGTGGGTATTATGAGTCTTAATCACAATTTTTATTACATGTTGGGGCCCAGTGTTTTTGTGTGTAAGACATATGATTCTAAAGAATGGCAAGGTTTTACATACAAATACTTGATTTATACCCAACTGTTTGAAAACACAGCAAACATAAAAACACAAGTGGGCTCTAGACTAAACATGGCCCTGGATATGTTCAGTTTGTCTCCACACAGTGAGTCAACATTTAAAATTTAGGAGAATTGTGCAGAAATCTACACTTCAGAACTTCTCCTAAAGAATCAAATCTGGTCCCCCTTGAGCCCAGGCTCCTGTGTGGTCTGCCCTGCAGAGGTGGCCCCTTCTCGGTTTGCTGTCCACACCTGGGACCTTCACTTACTTGGGCCACCTATGTTGCCTCTGTAAGCATTTGAATTTACAATTCCTGTTGTGTATTTTGATATATATTTCAAGATTTTAAAGACAGTCTATATTAATTTATAGTCTACTTCATATTTTATAATAATCCCTTAATAGTGGGATGGAATTTTTCAAATTAGAATTTATAAGTTGGTTTAAGGAAAACTTTTTCTTTATATGCAAATAGTCATTCCCATTGGAATTTCTGCAAGCTTTATGAGATTAGTCATAGTTGTAATTGGATAGGTTATGCATGTTGCAGACAGTTTGGTATCTTTCTCCTCAGCATGGCTCCTTAAAAATGTAGTTGGTTCAGTAGCTAAATGGTTCTCTCTGGAGCAGTGTTTAGAGTGTTGGGAGTAGTAGTTGAGCAGTAAGGTAACTAGAGAATGCCTGATACACGCTGCAATAGAAGCAAAGGTTCTTGGAACCAGCAATGTCTGAAGTGAGTTTCAGAGAATGACTTCACAGGGAAACTTTGGAAGAGATCAAGGAGGAACCTTTTACAGAGAAGGAGCACAGAGGGGTGAGGAGGCAGGGGCTACTTTTTATTTACTTTATAGTGTATGTTTAAGTTCAGAGACTTAAGTTTTTAAATTCAGTTTTGAAATGTATATGTAATTTTGTACATTGTCAACTGTTTTTACTATTTTACAGTATAACTTCACACCATTTTTACTCGCTGTCAGTGATAACAAAGAAGAAATGGTCAAATTTTTGATAGAGAATGGGGCAAATGTACATGCAGTCAACAAGTTGCAAAGGTACAATAGTTTGTTCTCTCTCTCTTTTTTTTTTTAGATCTTAATGTTGTTCTAGAGTAGTAACAGCCAATCAGAAAGATTAACTTAATAAGAAGAGGATTAACTTAGAATCAACACATCATCAGGTAGAAAAGCAATTATTCTGTCTGGGTGTCACAAAGAACAGTATGCAGCAGGATTCATCTTCCTTTATGATAGTGACTGATGTCATTTGCAACCTGATTTTTTGGTCATATGATCTTACAATAGTTCAGGGATTTCATTTTAGTTTTATTAGAATGGACTCTAATTTTAATTTACCTTATGAGACAGTGTTGAATTTCTTGATTCTTTTATAATTTGTTTTAACCTCTTCTTGGTATATATTTTTTTCTTAAAAGATGCACATTAAACAAAGAGGAGTTTGTTTTGTCTTTTGGATGATTCTGCTTTAAATTACTTTCTTTGAAGGACACTGATGTTATTAGGTTATCACTAAGTGAGTATCACTAAGAGAGTAACTATTACCAGATACTGTGGGCTCATCAGTTTTTATCCTTTTTCATTTCTAGTACAGTTTGATGTTTTCATTTTTAATTGATAATGGTAGAAGGAAGAAAAATAGCTTTAATTATTGAATAAACATTCCTTTTAAAGAAGACAAGTCATTAGTGGATGATAAAGAGGAAAGAGCTGGGCTTTGAGTCAGATGAGGTTGAATTCCTAGCTCTCCTGCTGATCAGGTGTGTTACCTGAGGGACTTGACTTATTACCAACCAATATGTTTCCTGACATGTAAAGGAGGGTCATAGTACATCCTTCAAGGGTGGTTGTGCCTAAGAAAGACCATACATAGACTATTCAGGTTAGTGCTGGGCACATGCTTCTCAGCGTGTTTAACTGCAGCAATTGATTATTGCCATTTTTATTCATATTACTGTTTTCAGCCTGCAAACAACTTCTCCTTACCTGATCTCTAGCTGAGTTTAAAGTATTATATTTCACAATAGGGAAGAAATGGGGGATCCTTTATTTAAAGCTTGCCTACTTCAGATAAGTGACCTCAGGGTCCTTTCTTGTCCTTCAGAAGACTTTAAATTAGCAACTTCTACTATGTGCTACCCAAGTAGGACAGGAGGCTTCTTTTTTGTCCCTCCATTTTGGCCTTGGATGTAATTTGCAAAGATGAGCACTTGAGCATATAAATGGTCAGTTCTCCAGGGGTGGGCAGGATATTAACTTGGTAAAATAGATCAAATTAACTGTTTAAGTTAAGCTAACTAAATTCCTAAGGGTGAAGTTGTCTCTTTTATTTTAGATCAGCACTGATGCTTGCTGTACATCATGACTCACCAGACATAGTCAAGCTGCTTCTTCAGAAGCACGTTAATATCGATTCTCAAGATTTCCTCGGATGGTCTGCTGAACGATATGCTTGTCGTAATGGTTTTAAACAGTAAGTGTTTACATTAAAATGCCAGTTATCTCTAAACTGAGGTTGGAAATGACCTAACACTGACTTGTTATGTGACAGGTGAGAGTTCCTAGTTGGTAGCACGCACTTTGGGGATGGCAGTGAGACCCTCCACATCATCAGCTGGAAACCAGCAAAAGGCCAGACTAATGAGGTGGAGCAGTGGGCACAGGGTTCTTTATCTCAGGGTTTGTAAGGCGTTTATCCTTAGGGTCCTGCTGTTCTCCATTTCATCCCAGTGTAACCCCGATGCATGGGGTACAAATAATGTCACATATCTGATTTTTCTAACTAGTTATTTGGGTCTTGAAATGTTTAGTAGAGCAGAAAATGCTGTATTTTCCTTTGGGGACTTTCTTCTATAATCTTCTTCTTGAATTTTCCAAGAACCTAAGGGATTCCCTGAGGCCACAGTGACAGTCCTCTCCCACAAGGCACTGGGGCAGGGTGAGGGCATGCTAATCATTCTCTTGTTTCCCTTGATTCTGTTGCTGCAGCATTGGTACTAAAACTGGTTTTAATAGGATCTCCTTGGCAGCTGAGTCTGGGGTCTGGATGTTGCTCTCAAAAGACCTTTAATAAAATTTTAAAAGAAGAAAAGGAAAAAGTAACTGGTCCTGCAGTCAGGTCGTGACTGACCTCTGCTCCCAGGATGCCTGTGCTGATCCAGTTTCCACAGTCTTCGTGGTGATCGACACGTAAACTTAAGCGTGACAGCTTGTTTAATTCTCATACATATGCTTGTATGAGGTCATATATTTATAAATAAATGTAGCTACAAATTATATAGTAGCTGAGGTGCCCTGAATTATAAACCATGAAGAACAGCTAATCACCGTAATTTGTAACATTTTCTGAAAATTGCCACATTTGAATGTTACACCTAGGAAAGAAAACACACATTGGGTTTTATTTGGGATTCTCAAATAGTTCCAGCATTTAAGTTCAAGAAGAAATTATTCCATTCTTCCACTGTTTCTCTGAGCATCTGGGGGATACATTATCTCATTAAATCTTCATTATATTCTTACAAGTATTAATAACTAACTGCCTAAGAAGACAGTAAGATCCCAGTTTTATAAAGGAAGACTTTGAGCTGAAGAGAAGCAGCTTTTCCAGGAACAAATAGCTGTTGGTTATAGAGCTGGGACTTCTGAGTTCGAGATA